ATTAGACGATTATTTCTGGGTTTTTGGATTTGGTAAAAAGCATTATACACTAAGTATACCCAAGGCCATTACACAAGTAAATCACCGTAGCTTGTATAGTAAATGCAAATTCTATACTTTCACTTATTTCTTAATGTATAAATATCCAAAAATTTGCTGTAAGTTTATATAACACCAGAAAGTCTATTTCGTTTTATATTCCAACAAAAGTGTCCTGGGGGATAGATAAATATATACGAAATAAAAATATACTGCGTCGTAAATAGTACTGTAAAGAGTATTTCTAAAATATACAAATCATATATCTTTTTTACGAAATTTTTATAAAAACCTCTGTTTTACCAAGTTTTCCTTCTTCATTATTTTATATCATTTTATAAGTTGTTTTACTAAAAAATACCGTTGCAGTATAATATATACAGTATGCATAAAAAATAACTTTATTGGCAGGTTCCTGATTCCCAAGTTTATGGTGAAAGATTTGTTGAATAAATTAAGCTGACTATATAAGGAAATTATATATAATATCTAGTGAGACATTACTTTAATATATATATATATATATATATATATATATATATATATATATATATATATGGGAAGGGGGGGTGATAAGAATCCCTGGGTAAGACCAGGCTGCCACAAGATGACTGTTTGGCTAAGCTCCTACAATATTCGAACACTGACGGACGACAATAGATTCCCAGAAATAGAAAGTGAACTAAAGGATATAAAATGGGATATCCTTAGTATATGCGAGACCAGAAGAAAAAGTGATGAGTATATAATACTAAAAAATGGCACACATTTTATGCATAAAGGTGGCAAATACACTGGATTGGGATTATTGGTAAAACAAAGCCTCACACAGTGTATCGAAGAATTCAAGCCCATATCAGACAGAGTAGCATATCTCATCATCAGGATTAATAAAAGAACCACTCTGAAAGTGATTCAAGTGTACGCTCCGACCAATAGCCACGACGATGAAGAAGTAGAAATATTTATGATGAAATAAGAACAGCTATAGAAACAAACAAAGCAAATTACGAAATACTATTAGAAGATTTTAATGCTAAATTGGGTAAAAAAGAGGAAGATTATGAACATTTAATTGGTAACTATGGCTACGGGAACAGAAACGATAGAGGAGAAATGCTTCTTAATTTCATGAATGAACATAACATGTACTCAATGAACTCCTTTTTCAATAAAAAACCAAGCAGAAAATGGACATGGATGAGTCCCGATAAAAAGACAAAGAATGAAATAGATTATATCTTAACGAAGAATAGAAACCTAGTAGAAGACGTATCAGTATTAAATCAGTTTGACCTAGGAAGCGATCATAGACTAATAAGAACAAAACTAATAATTAACAAAAAACTAGAAAGAAAAAGAATACATGAAAAAAGATACAAATGGACATCTGAAGAAATCAAAAATAGTGAATTTAATAAAAAGATAGTGCATGCATTAAATCAAGTTAGCATGCAGCAGATAAACTCCAATGATATTGATGATTTGAATAACCTTATTACCGAAACAGTGAATAAAAGCCTTCTGCAACTGAAAAAACCAAAAACAACATACAATGAATTAGACAAAGAAATATTACAACAAATAGAAAGAAGGAAGATCTTAAATAAATCTAACAAAGGAACGAGAATATAGAGAACTTAATAGCAGATTTGAAAAGGAATCAGACAAGAAAAAAGAAAAGAAAACGAAAAATTAATAACAACAACTGTTGAAAAAAATAAGAGTATGAAATGCCTCAGACCGACACTAGGACGACGTCAGATGATATCATTAATAGGAAAAGACGAAAATGAAATCACAAGTAGAGAAAACATACTGACACGAATAGAAGAATTTTACACAGAACTTTACAGATCACATCAACAAGATGATGAGATGAGACCAGCACGGAAATTAATAAAAAATGTTGGATCAGAAATAATGCCGAAAGTAACAATTTCAGAGGTAACTACAGCATTGGAAAACATAAAGAGAAATAAAGCTGCAGGAGAAGATAGTATTACCACAGATATGATATTAGAAGGAGGTAAGGAACTAATTGCAATTGTAACTAAGCTTGTGGAGAGTTGTTTACATTAGGGCAAAGTCCCTAAGAGCTGGAATAACTCTAAAGTAATCTTATTACACAAGAAAGGTGATAGTCGAAAATTAGAAAACTACAGACCCATTAGCCTACTGTCACACCTGTTTAAAATACTCACCAAAGTCATAACTACTCGACTAACAAGCAAATTAGACGAATACTAACCATATGAACAGGCAGGTTTTAGAAAAGGCTATTTAACTTCCGATCACCTGTTAACCACAAAAATATTAATAGAAAAATGTAACGAATACAAGTTTCCAGTTTTCTTAGCATTTGTAGACTACGAAAAGCTTTCGATAACATAGAATACACGGCCGTAATAAACGCAATGCAAAATTGTAGAATAGACAGCAGATATATTAACTTAATAAAAGAAACTGTGAACCAAGCTACAGCTACATACTACCTAAATGAAAATGAACACACGAACCCTGTACCATTAACAGGGATCAAACAGGGAGATCACTCATCACCCAAACTGTTCACCTTAGTTTTGGAGGACGTTTTTAAAAACCTAAATTGGAAATATAAGGGAATAAACATCAATGGCCGCTACCTCAGTAATCTACAATTTGCAGATGACATAATCCTGATAGCTACTGACCTACAAGAAATGCAAACCATGCTTTTAGAACTACATACCGAATCTTCTAAAATAGGACTGAAAATGAATTTAAACAAAACAAAAGTCATGCACTCCGAAGACACCGTGACAATAATAAACGATAAAGTTATAGAAAAAGTTAAAGAATATATATACTTAGGACAAAAATAATCCTAAATAGGGAAATTCAAACTGAAGAAATAAAAAGAAGAAGAAAGTTAGCTTGGGCAGCATTCGGTAAACTGAACTATATACTCAGAAATCAACAAATTCAATTACATCTTAGATCTAAAGTTTTTGATGCATGCATTATTCCGATATTAACTTATGCGGCACAAACATGGACAATAACAAAAAAGAATATGAATATACTTAGAGTCACTCAACACGCGATGGAAAGAGCAATGCTAGGTATATCACTTAAGGACAAGAAAACAAACACATGGATAAGACAGAAAACCAAAGTCACCGATGTGGTGCAAAAATCATTAAAGTTGAAATGGGAATACGCTGGACATGTAGCTAGGAGCGATCTAAACAAATGGCACAGATCAATTTTAACCTGGAGACCATACCAACACAAAAGACCCAGAGGCAGACCTCCTATGAGATGGACAGATGATCTGAAAAGGACTGCCGGGAAAAATTGGCTACAAGTAGCGTACAATAAAAAACAATGGAAAGGAAGACTTAAAGAGGCTTATGTTCAGATGTGGACGTGAATGTCTAGACGAAGAAGAAAAAGAAGAATATATATGTATATATTATATATATATATAATATATATATATATATATATATATATATATATATATATATATATATATATATATATATATATATATATGTTTTAATGAAACAGATTGGTTATAGTTTTCAATAATTACTGTTAAAATTTCCAGATACATTCCAGATTTATTGAAAGACGTGGGTTAAAGATAAGACTTTATTAACAAAGTAGTGAGTATTTTTTGAGATATCCTCACCAAAAACAGTTTAATAGTCATAAATTTTGATTTGCTTCTATTATGCTTCTATTATGCGGGAATGGATAAGGCATGTAATGTGGATGAAACAAAATGACCCAGCTAGAAAAACGTTCCTTGATAGACCCATTGGTCAATGAATAAGAGGAAGACCCAGAAAAAGGTTCCTTAGTAACATCAATGAAGACATGGTGAATATTGGAATACGTGCTTGGCGAAGAAAGCAATAGATATGGACGACTGGAGAGAAATTCTTGGTAAGACGCAGCTCTGTAAAGCCAGAATTATAATGATTATTCTTTGCTTTTGCTTTCCATCCACCGAAATTGACCTTTACCTCTTTTTACTCAATACTTAAGTGTGGTTATGTACATTAATGCTGAACCAATATATCAGCTTAACCTTTGAAAATCGGCATAGTAAGACGGATTAATATGCAGTCCGTTGCTTTCATGAAGAATGTGATCATGAAGAAATAAAAAATTGCATTTAAAAAGTGAATTTCCCAGAGTTGCAAATTTAAAAAAATTTACCTCGTGAAATAGTGAATAAAAGACGTCCTCCAACTTCGCTACTTAGAAGTTTTGGTGGTCGCTGAACGCGAATGTCTCCATTGTACCTGATCCCAGGGCAGACAGTACCTACGTCACCTCCAGAAGTTTTCTAAAGATTCATCAAAAATTATTCAAAACTTGTTTCTCGGGTGTTTTGAGGTCACTGAACACAAATATTATGTCGGCGAAGGTCTCCGAAATACCTGATACCCTAGTAGGGTGTTCTGAAAAATCGCTTTTTGTTTTTGTTTAATACAAGACCTCTTAAAATTGGGATAATTGCTTTTAAACTATCACAATAATTAAACATATAAAAATTATAACATTATTATTTTAAGGGTTCTACCGAACTTTAACGTTTTGAAAAATTGTCATTTTTATGGTAATATAAATATATATGATTGTGAGTGTGTGTGTATGTATATGTATAGATGATGCTTTCTTGGTTTCTATGCCATAGTCTGAAATTTTTGCTTAATGCAAATGCCAAAAAGAGTTTTTAGTTTTTAGTAGGCAAAATCATTAGCTTTTAAGTGATTCTAGTGGAAAATTCCATTGTAATAATTATACCTCCAAACCATACAAGTTATTATTATTATTTCTGATTCTTTAAAAGAATTTAAAACAAGAATTTTGATACTTAAAAATTTTCTGAGGTACATTCTACATTTTTTTTTTAAAAGATAAGTGTAATTCCATTAATTAAAAAAATCTTTTAAACAATCTACCTGCTCCTGCGACATGGTGTAACAATGAGTTTCCATCCGAATCCTGTGTATCGACTGTAAAATCGTAAATATCTATATTATCCAGAGCTAAATTCACAACCGAAAAGCACCCATTACTAGCAACTGTTAACAAATCAAAATCCATAAACGAGAATTCACCATCCATTCCTTTCAAATTTATATAATAGTATATGAAATTAAATTATCACATCTAAGTACTACGCTTTGTTGACATGTGTATATAAAGATCGTTATCATTGATAATGTTCGGAAGGTTGTTTTCTTATCTAGGCAGCTAAATAGTACAATAAGAAAATAAAAAATATACAGAACTTTTACAGTGACGGACTTAGAAATAGTAGATTTATATAAAATAAAAGTTATTGTTCATAGAAAATATCATAAAGACCTCATTTCTTTTAAATTTATATATATATATATATATATATATATATATATGTATATATATATATATATATATATGTATATATCTATGTATATATATATATATATATATATATATATATATATATATATATATATATATATATATATATATGAAAAGAAGTCTTTGTTGACAACGTTAGAAAACGGAGCTTTGGGGTTATTGGGGATTTGCAGCGGTGAAATAAGTTTACTCTTTTAACTAAGTTTCAAGCTTTCGAAAATGTTTATTTTCATCATCAGGAAAAACTGAAATAAAGTGCTACTGTTAGTAAAGCATCCTCGAAATTTGTTAAGAGTGTAAAGATTGTGAAAAGTTACGTTATTGAGGTTTGTCTTTCGTGGATGTTCTACTCACAGGTACAAATTCACGCACCACTCATTGATTAAGTCAATTATTAAAAAATATAAAACTTGCCTGGTGTAAAAGACAAAACTTGATAATTTATTCTACTCTAACACATAAGAAAAAGACAATTACAAAGTTTAAAAAGGCCACGTGTGCCGGCCAACTGTGGAATGTTAGGTTAAAGTAGCTGTCATTCCTGGACATGGCAAATGAGAGTACTTCTTCTTGTTTTCTTTGTCTTATGTGGTACGACTACTATTACACATCAATATTTACCAAAGGTTATATTTAAGTTAAAAAACCAAATTGTATAATGAGAACTCTAAGAAATAACGAAACTTGCAAAATTTACAATGAATCAGTTTTTGAAATATCATTGGATTGTGAATGTGTATGCAAATATAATAGGTAGGAGTAAATAGTGCTTAATTGATTGATGTCACTCCTTTTGTTCATTGCATTTAAATGTTCAGCGATTAATGCCATTTCTAAGAAAAGTCTTTTTTTGTAATTGGATTCAGTAGCTAAAACTTTGACTGATTCGTAATTGATTATGTGATGTTCTTTATTAACATGTTCTGCAAGGGCAGATCTTTCAGGATATAATCTACTATCGCTACGATGACTGATTAAGCGACTACCTAGACTGCGTGTGGTTTGTTCCTTCTTCTTCTTCTTAACATGCCATACACCAAAGTGCGTAGGCGATTGTCTCATTACTAGAATTCTGTTCTTGGCGGCGTGACACAGCTCACCTGTATTGTGTATTCCTGTCCATTCTTTAATATTCCTTGACCAGGATAATTGTTAGCGGCCAGCTCCTCTCCTACCTTCGATCTTCCCTTGTAGGATTAACTGTAATATTTCATATTTTGTTCCTCTCTTTTGTTCCATTATGCTTTAAGTTTGTTGATAGATGTTTTTTTCAAAGTGCACGTTTCCATGCCATAAAGCAAGATGGACCATATGTAGCACTTGACCATTCTGTAGCGTATTTCGAAGTTTAGGTGTTGATTACATAGGAGCGGTCTGAATTTCACAAAAGCTTGTCTTGCCATTTGTATTCGGGTTTTTATCTCGTGTTGTGGATCCAATTGGTCATTGATTGTGGTGCCAAGGTATTTAAAAGTTTTCACGCGATTTATACGATTGTCACCTATGCATATTATCGGGTTTTCTGGAGGGTTTCTGCGAATGACCATATATTTCGTTTTTAAAATGTTGATTGTGAGGCCATATTCTTTACCTATGCTATTCACCCTATCAATTAATAACTGCTGATCTTCCAAATTGTCAGTTATAATTACTGTATCGTCCGCATAGCGTAGGTTGCTAATTGGTATGCCGTTCACCTTAATGCCTAATTCCGTATCTTCTAATGCTTCCGCAAATATATTTTCAACATATAAATTAAAAAGCATCGGACAGAGTATGCAGCCTTGGCGGACACCTTTCCGGATTTCAGGTTTGTGGTTTCGTGGTTTGTTCCACATATACTAAATTACAGTTATTGCAAGGAATCTGGTAAAATACGTTGGAACAATCTTTTATGTCACTTTTATCTTTAACCTTAGAATATATAGGTCTTGCAGTTAATGAAGTTTTAAAGGCTATTTTTAAATTGGTGAAATCTTTGAAAAGTCTTGCCAGTCTGGGTGTTATGCCTTTTATGTATTTTAATGAAGTATATGAGCAATTGGTATTTTGTTCTCCGCTTGTAACAATAATTTGCAGCTCATCATTTGGCGTATTATGTTCGGGGTCAAACTGAATAAAATCTTGGTGACTAGGTGTTTTGAGTATGAATTGTCGATGAAAAGGTTAGACAGGATTCTCAGGTTCTTCTGATGGAAAGAAGGATCACTGATAGCTATAATTCTAGCCTTTATTTGTTTGAGCAAATTGATTTTTATTGAATGTCTATGATATGACCAATACTTTAGAAAACGTCCAGAACTATGCGGTTTTCTATGCCAGTCGATAATCAGGGAGTTGTTATGGGTTCTAATGAACCGGGTATCAAGAAAGGGGATTGAGCATAGATCATCCTCATGTTCGATTGTGAACTATAATATAGGGTCTAAACTATTGAATACATTTATAATTTCTGTGGATCCCGTGCTAGGAATAGCTAGTATTAAATCATGTGAACTATAATATAGGGTCTAAACTATTGAATACATTTATAATTTCTGTGGATCCCGTGCTAGGAATAGCTAGTATTAAATCATCCACATACTTTTTTACAAAAGGAATATAAAAGAACAATTCTGGGATCACCATATCTAGTAAATGATCCATCACATAACAGGCCAAAATGGGAGAGATAGTACCTCCCATAGGAGTTTCTTTTGTTTGTCCAAACACAGTATTATTAACTGTGTAATAGGTGTTATTAAACAGAAAAGAGATGAGTTTTTTGAAGTACTCCAAGCTGATATTGCAGTGAGAACTAACAAAATTCCAATTGTTTTCAATAGCTATTAAACTGCATCTAGATGTACATTGGTGAATATTGAAACTACACACAGACTGACAATCACGTAGCCTTCAGGTAACTAATAGTTGTTAAAGTTGTTGAAAACATCAAAAAAAAATTTTATTTAATATTCATTCGATACACATGCATTGGTTAAGATCTCAGTTAAAAAAGATGCTAATAAATTAGTAGGGGAACCAATACATGCAACAAGAGGACGAACTGCAAGCTTTGGTTTAAAAACTGAATTATTTGAATCTCTGTTCAATCTCTCATACTTCTTCTTCTTCTGGTTCCTATCCGTATCGGATGTTGGAAATCATACTGGCAATCATAACCTTGCTCGCTGCGGCTTGAAACAGCTTCATTGAGGTTTTCTTAAACCATGTTCTTAAATTCCGAAGCCATGATATTCTCCTTCTACCGGGCCCCCGCTTACCTTTGACTTTACCTTGCAATATAGACTGCAGCAGGGAGTAACGGTGCTGATTTCTCTCATACAGATCTCTCATAGAGATTATCAGAATTGAGCAATTCAAGACTTATATCTAAATGTCTCTGCTTTTCCAGAACTACAGTTACATTACATTTGTCAGAAGGTGAAAACACTAACATCATTATCACGCCTTCTGACAAATGTAATGTAACTGTAGTTCTGGAAAAGCAGAGACATTTAGATCTATGTCTTGAATTGTTCAATTCTGATAATGTGTATAAGAGGTTGAACAGAGATCCAACTAATTCGGTTCAAACCAAAAGTATCAATCTCATATAAGAAATTGTGTGACTCAACGCAAATATATAAGGCTACAAAGAAAAAACTAACTAGCTACAAGGGTGTTATACCTAAATTTTACGCGTTGCCCAAGACACATAAACCACAGCTTGCAGTTCGTCCCATTGTTGCATGTATTGGTGCCCCTACTAATTTATTAGCATCTTTTTAACTGAGATCTTAACCAATGTATATGTGTCGAATGAATATTACATAAAAAATTATTTTGATGTTTTTAACAATTTTACCAACTATCAGTTACCTGAAGGCTACGTGATTGTCAGTCTGGATGTAGTTTCATTATTCACCAGTGTACATCTAGATGCAGCTTTAATAGCTATTGAAAACAATTGGAATTTTATTAGTTCTCACTGTAATATCAGCCTGGAGTACTTCAAAAAACTTATTTCTTTTCTGTTTAATAAAACCTATTTCACATTTAATAATACTGTGTTTAGACAAACACAAGGAACTCCTATGGGAGGTACTATCTCTCCCATTTTGGCCTGTTACGTGACAGATCATTTACTAGATATAGTGATCCCAGAATTGTACTTTTATATTCCTGTTGTAAAAAACTATGTGGTTTCCATGTTTTCTTTTAGTGTCTTATCATTATTTGTATCTATTTTTAAACCCGATATATATTTTGCTTCCTGTTCCTTTGTCACTTCTATTCATTTTATTATATTATTAAAAAGTTTAAATTTCAATTACATTTTATTTTAATTTAATTCTAATTTAACTTTAATTTAATTTATTCTAAGGCCGGATCTGGATATTTGTAATAAAATTTTGTGACTTTTATTTTAATATTTAATTTCTTGTGGGCACTAGCTACTCTCTTATCTGCCAAAAAACGCGTAGAAATGTCTAAGCGGGTCGACCACTCGGACTTAAAACAATCGCCAAAACCAATTTTTCAATCTTTTACATAATTATTTATTTACTCAAAACTTGTTAAAATTATTGAAATATGTAATTCTATTTTACTTTTTTGATTGTATTAGTTTATTCACTACAATCACCTGTATACACTAACTTTTAACACTTATTTTTGAACTCCGGTTAAATTTTCTAACTTATAATTCCCCAATTATTTGAAGTTTTATTACAAATCGAAAATCAACCAAACTACTGTTGTCACTTATAGGACTCAACTAAATTTTCATTGTTCATTCAGAATTTTCATTTCGGT